GAAGTATATAGAATAATATTGTTAATAGTTTCCTTTTGTCTTTGTCCTGCCACCTTAGCCCTGTGCCTAGGTAAACATTGTTAAGAGGTTTTCTGTATTTGTGGACTTTTTCCTGTGGGATTATCTGCTAAGGGAGGTTGTGGAGGAAGGGGGAGTAAAAAGGCTAATATCGTTTGTTTAAAAATATATTAAAATGGGATCAAAAGTAGCACCTCAGCTTGGAGTGCCAGAGATAGGCAAATGCTGATGCTCTGAAGGGGGGATGAGCGGGATGTCTGCCACCGTTGCCAAGATCTGAGCACCAGTCTTAAGTAATACTACACACAAACCACTAAGTTACAGTCACAGTCTCATCTCTTGGTATTTTCCTTGTAGGTCCTTGGGTCAACAGAACAGTTTTAGGTTAAAACTGCTGAATTCTAACTCACATTTCTGCTTTTTCTTGGACTCTCTCTTCCAGATGTATTTTCTCCCCTTTACCTTGGTGAATTGCCTAAAGCCATGGCTCCCACCTTACAGCTTTTTATCATTGTCACTTCCTATTGTCATTCAAAGTATGGAGCCCTCTCAGGCTATCACTACAGGTCTAGAACCTGCATCAAATCAAATGCTGTCTTTCTCTGGTTTCTTGGACCTTTCTAAATTCCTTAAAAGGGGAATTATAAGGAAATGCAAGGAGAGCTATTTAATAAAGATTATATTTGAAAAACAGTCATAACATAAAATTGAGAGTGATGGGTACACACTGAGAAAATCCAGTGGGGTCCAAAATGTGGTAATCTCTGTCATAGGAGATTGCAGAAGTTTATGATGTTTTTCTTTATTTTCATTATTTGATGATGAGGACAATTTTATTTTATTTTTATTTTTATTTATTTTTTATTTTTAAATATATCTTTATTGATTTCAGAGAGAGGAAAGGAGAGGGAGAGAGAGANTGCCACCTTAGCCCTGTGCCTAGGTAAACATTGTTAAGAGGTTTTCTGTATTTGTGGACTTTTTCCTGTGGGATTATCTGCTAAGGGAGGTTGTGGAGGAAGGGGGAGTAAAAAGGCTAATATCGTTTGTTTAAAAATATATTAAAATGGGATCAAAAGTAGCACCTCAGCTTGGAGTGCCAGAGATAGGCAAATGCTGATGCTCTGAAGGGGGGATGAGCGGGATGTCTGCCACCGTTGCCAAGATCTGAGCACCAGTCTTAAGTAATACTACACACAAACCACTAAGTTACAGTCACAGTCTCATCTCTTGGTATTTTCCTTGTAGGTCCTTGGGTCAACAGAACAGTTTTAGGTTAAAACTGCTGAATTCTAACTCACATTTCTGCTTTTTCTTGGACTCTCTCTTCCAGATGTATTTTCTCCCCTTTACCTTGGTGAATTGCCTAAAGCCATGGCTCCCACCTTACAGCTTTTTATCATTGTCACTTCCTATTGTCAGTCAAAGTATGGAGCCCTCTCAGGCTATCACTACAGGTCTAGAACCTGCATCAAATCAAATGCTGTCTTTCTCTGGTTTCTTGGACCTTTCTAAATTCCTTAAAAGGGGAATTATAAGGAAATGCAAGGAGAGCTATTTAATAAAGATTATATTTGAAAAACAGTCATAACATAAAATTGAGAGTGATGGGTACACACTGAGAAAATCCAGTGGGGTCCAAAATGTGGTAATCTCTGTCATAGGAGATTGCAGAAGTTTATGATGTTTTTCTTTATTTTCATTATTTGATGATGAGGACAATTTTATTTTATTTTTATTTTTATTTATTTTTTATTTTTAAATATATCTTTATTGATTTCAGAGAGAGGAAAGGAGAGGGAGAGAGAGAGGTAGAAACATCAATGATGAGAGAGTCATTGATCGAGCCCACAACCCGGGCATGTGCCCTGACCGGGAATCGAACCCCGATCGCCCGGATCCCAGGTCGACGCTCAACCGCTGAGCCACGCCCGGCCAGGCAATGAGGACAATTTTAAAACAATTCTACAATAAATTTTCTAAAAGGAAAGGTTTATATATTAATTAGCCAAATAATTCTTCAAATAATCAATTTGCTTCAAGCTGAGAGACAGCTTCCTTCGGCCCTTTCACCAACATAGTTTGGGGTGAGACTGGCCCTCCACCTGGGAGAGTAGGAGAGTCCTGTGGTTCCCAGCCTCCTTCCACTTGGCCAGGCCCTGGTAGGTGATGGTTGACTCAGCTGCCACATTCCTCAGTATTTAGAAGGGCATAACATGGGCCACACTGTTGGCCATGGTGAGCAGCAGCAGGGAAGTACCTCTGCTTAAGATATGAGCCTGTACTGTTTCACCATCTACTCCTCCACTCCCAGCTCTCCCCCAAATCCTTCCCCCACCGCACACACACTCATATGGGATTTCACGAAAATGTCAGTTCATACTCAGCCAAATGGCTTTTAGCAAATTAATTTCCCAACAGACTAGTCAGCTTCCTCTTTTTTATTCACCCTTCTTCAATATCTTGAATAACCACTAACAACAATTCAGGGCATGACTTTACAGACCTGCTTTTGTGCATGATAAAATATATAATGCATGTGCTTTATATAGTTTGGGCTTTTTCATGACTTATATTTTCTAGAAATTACTTTTTTGTTTCCACAGTGTAGCATGGTTATTCTATGTCAGTACGTGTGAGGTCTAACTTTATTATTGACATTGAGACTTTTGTTTAATTTGCATTGCACATTTAAATTTAATGAGCATAGTTAAGCTCCAGTACTCCTCCTCTTTGACTAGTCTCTAGTTCTGAAGTGGGGAACTAAGGCGTGCTCTGGAGGAGCATTACATGGGACCATCAGTCAGCAAACAAGATTTCACAAAATAGTTCTGTTCAATGACATGGAATAGAAAGTCCTTTATTATTTAACCCAGTGGATCTCAACCTTTGCTACACATTAAAACTATCTAGAGATAAAAACAAACAAACAAACAATACTGTGAAAACTGATGTCCACACAAAAGCCTGCACATATTTGTATCAGCTTTACTCATAACCGCCAACATTTGGAACCATTATATTCTTCATTAGTTGAACAGATAAATAGACTATGGTACACCCACATAATGGCATATTACTTAACACTAAAAAGAAATGCACTCTCAAGTCATGAAAAGACATGAATGAACCATAAATGCATATTACTAAATGAAAGAAGCCAATCTGAAAAGGCTAAAAACTGTATGAGTTCAACTATATGACATTCTGGATATGGCAAAACTATGAGGAGGGTAACAAGATCAGTGGTTGCCACGGGTTGGGGTAGGGGTAGGAGGAATGAATGTTGGGAGCACAGAGTATGTTTAGGGCTGTGAAATACTCTGTATAATACCATAATGAGGGACATATGTCATTATACATTTGTCCAAACCCATAAAACATACAACACACCAAGAGTGAACCATAATGTAAACTATGACTTTAGTGATAAGGATGTGTCAATGTAGGTTTATCGGTTGTAACAAATGTACCACTCTGGTTGGGGATGTTGATAATGGGGGAGGCTATGGTTGGTGAGGGTAGGGACTATATGGGAAATCTCTGTACCTTCCTCTCGATTTTGCTGTGAACCTAAAACTGCTCTAAAAACTTAAGGTCTTAATTTTAAAAATATAATAATACTATTGTTTGGCTGGGCTCCATACTTAGAGACTGTGGTGTAGTTGGTCTGGATTGAAACCTAGAAAGCTGGGGTTTTTTTAAATAGACTTTATTTTTTAGAGCTGTTATGTTTTAATAAGTTCCATAGGTGATTCAAAAGTGCACCCAGGGTGAATAGTTAAGGGTCTAAGTCACCCGTCAATCTTTTCAGCTAAGTTCCTACAAATCTTCCCCAGCTACTCTTGCTCTGCTGTTTGGAACTACTCACACCTCACACCTCTTTACATCTCATAATTTGCCTCCCTCCCTGAAAACCCCAGGCCCCACTCACCAGAGAGCCTCTCCCCACCAAGTCGCAGCTCAAGCAAGTGACTTCCCTAACACCTACCTAGTTGTTTGTTGTTTCCCAAACATGCTTTACCTAGTTCTCTGGACTTCCCTGTGCTACACTCTATCAGAATGCGTTAATTGTTTGAGTGCATGTCTGCCTATCCATTACACTGAGCAATTTGAGAGCAGTGTTGTGTTCTATTTGTCCTGTCAGTACCTAGCACTAGCTAACTGAAATTCTTGGTCAAAGAAACAAATGTGCCAAGCAGGTCATCATGTATAAACTATGCTTTGAAATTTAAAAATCTAGTATTTTTCATTCAAAGTATATCTACTACCTGCTAAAATATGAAATTCTCCAGATACCCTTGCTCCCTTTGAGTCTATATATTCCTATGTCTTGGCCCAGGAAACAGAACTCTGGCTAAAAGATGGAAGCCTGGTCTTCAGCAGACAGCTGTGTCACCCTGACAAAGTCATTTAATTTCTCTGGGATCCTGTTCCTCTGGATCTGTAAACTGTAGATCACTAAGGCCCCTTCCACTGTGAACCAAACCCTATATACCAGGGGTTTACACTCTTCTTCAAGTGATACTTGAAGACTGTTTCCCTGTTTGAAAACAAAAGGGTAAGAGAGGAAAAACTGATGAATATTATATTCTATTGAGATCCTCCCTTAAGACCTCCCCTAAACTCTCATTTAAAAACCTTCAAAATAGAGGTCCCAGCGCGTGGGCCTTTCTCTTCTCCTTGCCCCTCTCCTGCCCCCACAGGCACGCATCTCCTACTTATCTAAGGAAACCCACGAGACTTGCAACCAGGGCAGCAATGGGCAGGGACAGTTCCTCCCGGGCAAACCCCCTGAACCTGTCTCCAAGGCCCCCTTTTCTCTGACTTCTTAGCCAAAGCAGACCAGCCTAGGCTTATTTCCCCAGCCCTTTCTTGTTTCACTGTCCCCAGCTTTAATAAACAGCCTCTAAAAATAAAAAAATAAAATAAAAAAATTAAAGGGTAAGAGAGGGAGAGATGTATAAGAAACTGGACACAGCAAGTTTCACCATTGTTTATTTAGTGAACCAAGAATATCAACATAGTTATAACACAGATTAATAGGAAAATCTGAATTTTATATAAAATTTATGTAATTTTTTATGATGTTAATATTGGACATAAGAATTCTATTCTCCCTACCCCTATGCAGCCAGTAACCCCCTGCCCAGATACGTCAATAGTGGCCAAAGTGAAATTATAAAGATGACATTTTTGTTAATGTAAATATTGTTTTTTAAAGCACAATAGCATATATGCATTAACAAGAAAGCAAGCAGAATTTGCAATCAATCCAATCCAAATGAGGAATCTTCAAACCTGAGGGGACAGAAAAAGTCTTGTTAGAAAATATACTTATTTTATTTGGATTACAGACTGTACCACCCAACTTGTCTAACTTCTTCTGTGTATATCACGATTTGTAAAAGTAGTAGCTGCAGACAATTTTCCAGACCCATTACAAAGAGCATTTCCCATTAGTTTATCCCATTGATTCTCCCACAACCTAAGAGAAAAGAATGCTGGTATTAGAGTTCAGATTCTGGCTCTACCTTTTAGTTACTGTGTGACTCTGGGCAGGTCACCCAGCTTCTCTGATGCTCTCTTGAATTAATTTCCCTGTCCTAAAATATAACAGGAGATGTGAAGAGGTTTTCTAACTGTGAACTCCATCCAAAGAGACAGAGAAGTCCAATTCCTCCCTCTTTCATGCTGCTAGAACTCCTTGTAGATACATCCATTTTAGTATCTTTACAATGCATTATAACAGTGTTTCTGTTTCTCTCCTCTATTGGACTGGGAGCCTCCAGAAGGCAAACCCAGTGCTCACATGCTAAGGCTCAACAAGAGATTAAAGGAATGGGACTTCTTTAGAACCATGCTACTCCTCTCTTCTGACTAATAAAGCAACTGCTATGCAACAGAAGAGAATGGTTCATTTCTGAAGGCCCGGAGATGCCCCATGTGGAAATGGCAGAAGAGCGAGCAAAGCCTTGCAGGTAACCTTGTGGGTAACCAGCTGCCTCTATGCTGTACACCAGCAGCTCCTCTGACTTCCTTTAGGGGGCCAGTGATGCTGGCAGAGCCACAACTGGGGCCACACACCTTCCACATGCCACTCCACAGGAAAAGGGAATGTGACCCTGCAGGATTCTTCTCCGCCTGCTGAAATGCTGCCCTGATTAATGTCCTCCATATACTGAGGATGTCATATTACAGCTGTTTGGAAAGTCTTCAGAATAATGAAACAAACAAACAAAACGTTTCTTTTAAGTTAAAAACCTACCTCCATGATGCTGCCAGTTAGTTGTATCGATCTATGAAAAAGAAAATGGGGAAAGAAAAAGGGAAACGATAAGTTTTATTTTTAAAATACTATGTATTAACAAATGTCTGGCAGAATAGCCTGCTGTCCCTAACCATGAGTACCTGGGTTAGAACTACCTAGCAGGACCCAAACCTGCCTACTAGCCTAGAACCCAACCCAGTCAGTGCTGGAGGAGTCCAGGATTGTAGGGTGCCAGCAGAGCAAGGCTTACAAAGGCCTGCGCCTCCCTTAGACTCTTGTTGGTTCGAAGTATCCATGAGGTTGTCAGGAAAGCCTGAGAAAGCCAGCAGGTAAGACGTTGGGAATGAGTGTGCATTTGTGCAAGTGCTATTGCTGCTCCCTGCTCTTGCCTCAGGAAAACGACCATCTCTGGGACCATGCTGTGCAGAGATCTCTCAGAAGGTGCCACTTATCAGAGCTCTAATAACATTCCCTAACAATCCCAGTACACATATTTTTTAAAATATCGAAGCAGCTTTATGCTGTGGCTATACTCAGATACAACTGCCAGCAGTTAAGGAAAGAACTTGAAAACTTACCCCACTTAACTTTCTTGGGCTCAGGGAGAGTAACGTGAGTCACAGAGCAGCTGTATTCATCTCCTGCGCTGGGAGTGAAATTTGCGTGCACCAGAAGATAGAAAGACCAGTCCTTACTGAAAGACAGGTCTGACTTCTCCGCTGGCATCTCTTTTCCATTCTTCAGCAAATGAATATCAATCTCAGGTGGATGGAACCCAGACACATAGCAGTTTAGGAAATTTGGCTTTCCATTCTCTGCTGGATGGCGTGAGTAAACCTGAATCTTTGGAGTACCTGAGGAACATCAGGGAAAGATAAATGAGCAATGCACAGTATATCACTTGGGACAACCTTGGTCTAAAGCTAGATTGGGCACCAAGTGTTTAAATTTGATTGTCCACTTCCAATTCCATTTCCTCTCTGGTCAAATAAGCTTTCACTTTTCCAAAAGGCTACCTCCATTTTGAGGGATAAACCATGACCTGGTATCTTTCTCACATAATTCCCCTACACATGCCTTTTTGGCTTTTTCTGGCAGATTTCTAGTAGTATCTTCTGCTGTCACTGGAGATTGTGACAAATCTTTAAGAACCTTTCTGTGGAGTCTCTCGAGAGGTTTTTTTTTGTAGATATGAAAATGAATATTTAATCAAAATGAGAAAATAAATCATAAGAAATAGTGATTTTTAAAAGCTGACACATCTGGAAAAGCCGATCACAAAATACAGAAAGGGTAATACAATATTTTTATCAGTATGCTGCCTAATAGCCCTCTATAGCATTTTCCTACATTTTTTACTGTATTGTCTTTGATCACTTCTTTATCTAGCAATGATTTTGATGGCTTCTCGGCACCGACAGAATTCCTTAACACATCACTCAAAAAAGTCTACATGATTTGGCCCTAACCTACTTTTCAAATTTCATTTTTCTCTTCACACACCCTCCTACTAGCCACATCAAAAAACTCATGTTATTGTATCCTGTTTCAGCCCCATCAATTTTTTTCTTTGTTTACATATTTCCTTTTTGGTTCCTGCTCCTGCCTAGACCGACACCCATCTGACTTCTCAGTGTGTAGTATCTAGTAAAGGGTCTGGCACACAGCAGTTGCTCTGTAAGTGGCAGATGTTATCATTACTAGTTGCTCAGGTTCCTAAGAGAGTCAACTCAAAGTACGTTCCTACAAAACACAACCTCTTCATCCTGCCTAGAGTTTATACACCAAACCCCTGCTTTTGTACCTGATTTCATGAGCTACAAGGTTTAAATGCCAACAGAAGCTGGCAAATAGCTTAAATGTGTGAGTCTGGCTGGGTCAAAACAATAGGAAAGGGTGAGGACTCTGGCAAATGGGAGAGAACATACTCTCCATTATGACCAAGTACAGTAATGCATGAGAATGGGATGATTGAAATGATTCCTATAACTAGCTGGGTTCAGAATCCATTGTATAATGCTACAGAACAGCCGTTTCCAAAGGGGATGCATGACTAGACCATCCTTGGGGGTGCAGAAAGAAAATATAAACTCTATTTCTTTATTTTTCATCCAAAATGAAGAGAAGTGTTACTGCTACTCAGTATACAGACTGACACTAATGCATGTGTGTAATTCACTTTAAAATACATACAGCCCTGGCCAGTGTGGCTCAGTTGGTTGGGCATCATCCTCTGCACTGAGAGGTAGCCCATTCAATTCCCCATCAGGACACATGCCCGGGTTTCAGGCTTGACCCCTGGTAGGGGGAATGCAGGAGGCAGTTGATTGATGTTTCACTCTCACACTGATGTTTCTCTCTCCCTTCCTCTCTCTCTAAAAAAAAGTCAATAAAAATATTTTTTAAAAATAAAAATAAAATATGTATACATTCAGGGTTCATGATTACTACAGGGCAGCTGCTCCTCCAGGTCCAGAAGGTGGTGGGGAAAAGGAGAAGTACCAGACCACTCTGGCCACATGCATCTGTGTAGAAACACTCTATCATCAAAGGAAAGGTCGCCAGGAAAGGAAATATCAAAAGTCCACAAAAGCTGGACCGAGGATCCCAATGAAGCCTTAATTTCTTTCCCCCATAAAGTTAAAAGTGAAGATAAATCAGAATGCTCTTTGTATTTGAGCTTCTAATAATTAGAATATAGTAAATGCCACAGGAGTAAGAGCAAGGTTCATCTGGCCTGGAATTCTCACTTTGAGGGAACCAGGTAGGGTTTTGCAAAAGCATCGTGAAAAATCTCTTCTAAGAGGACCAATATCAGTGAGGCCTAGGTTTTAATTTGGACCCAGCCCCTTACTGGCTCTGTGACTTTGGGAGAGTTATTTTAGCTTCCAAAGCTTACCTGAAAAAATAATTTATGTCCACATGAAACAAACAAACCCACACATGGGATAGAGCAGAAAACTGACCCCCAGAGGCAATCACCATTACCTATTTCTTGGGTCTCTTCCAGAAATGATCTATGCAGGGCATGTATTACTTTAGAAATTTTAAAATTAAGATTTTTAAAAAATGCTAGCTTGTTATTTTTCAAAAAGGCTTCTACAGTCAGCAAATATCAATAATAGTGATGACAGCCCCGCCTGTGTGGCTCAGAGGTTGAGCATCTACTTATGAACCAGGAGATTGCAGTTGGATTCCTGGTCAGGGCATGTGCCTGGGTTGTGGGCTCCATCCCCAGTAGGGGAGGGCAGGAGGCAGCCAATCAATTACTCTCATCATTGACGTTTCCATCTCTCCCTCTCTCTGAAATCAATAAAAACATCTTTTTTTTAAAAATACTGATGATAGACATCGTGCTTTACTTTGTAAACAAATTATAAATTAAATACCTTCTTCTCATGATCAAAAGACCACGCTTCACAGAGGGTTTTATGAGGGGGAAAATAAGAGAGTCTTGTATATTACAGGGTATTTGGGACATGCTCAATGTCCCTGGTGTCCTCAACAGATAGCCTTGGTAATCACTCTGATTACCCTTATCACTGGTTTTACAACCTCTCTGACTGATTAACCTTGGCTTTTTCAAAACTGAAAGTAGAGGCTGAGTTCATCTTGGAAAGAACCTGGCAAGGAGCCAAAAATGGCAACAGGGGCCCCACAGCCTCCCAGCTTGTTCCAGGCAATCTCATACCCAACGGAGGAGGTACGGATTACATACGGCCCAAAGGTTTACACCTCAGCATTGCGCTCTAGTCAGGAGCCATTGTCGGCCATTTATTCCCTGTGTGATTAAATTGCTTAAACTCTTGGTGCGTCGGTTTCCTCATCTGTGAAGTGCTGATAATAACCTTCATATTTACATTGTAGGCCCATTTAAGACTTAAAATGACATGAAGCACACAGCGTCCCCCGCACACTGTGAGTTGTCAAAAACAGGGTAGCTCTTACAATTATTAAAAGCGCCATAGTGGCCCAGCCAGGCGTGGCTCAGTGGTTGAGCATCGACCTAGGATCCAGGCGATCCGGGTTCGATTCCCGGTCAGGGCACATGCCCGGGTTGCGGGCTCGAGGCAGCAGATCAATGACTCTCATCATTGATGTTTCTCTCTCTCTCCTTTCCTCTCTCTGAAATCAATAAAGATATATTTTAAAAAAGGAGAGAGAGAGAGAGAAAGCGGCATAGTGTAATGGGAACAAATGACTTAATGATATGAAAGCGGGGGCCCTGTAACACCCCAAAGCATTCTACAGACGTCGCGCGCAGACGCCCAAGGTTTGATTCCATACGTATGGAGAAGTGCGAAAGGACAGGTGAACCTGGCAGGCACTGGGAGGAAGCCCGAAGCCCAGCGGTGCCCAGATTCACCCCCGCCGGGCTTCCCCCGACGCCCCAACGCGTCTCCACCCACTCGCAGTCCGCAGCTCCGAGCGGCTGGGGAACCGCCTCCCAGCCCCTCCCCTGCAGCTGCGCCCGGGAGCCAGAGGTCCCGCGAAAGAGCGGAAGAGAAACCCTTTCTCACCCAGGTTGTTCAGAAGCTTATCAACACCCCGAAACTTTGTCCCGACCTCCCC